GCACCAAAGATTATTCATGCACATGTAACACCGGCCACTTTGAAAACTCTGGTCCACGCCTTGGCTGTACTGTAATGATATTAACTCACAGGAGAGACTGTTACAAAGAAAGGGAAGTCGAAATATCTTCCCTGTTCTTCTTTCCAAACAGTACCATCACTGGGTACTTCTGCATGTACAGGACACAAGTATCTATTTCACTGAGGAAGAAACAACTCTGAAAGCCTGTGCCACCATTTTAAAGGTGACTTTTTCAAATAAAAACTCCTGTTAGGTGATTGTAATGCTCAAGTTTCTTTTGGATAAGGAGGTTTGTCCTATCCTTCTAGGAAGCTCACTTTTCATTTGAAATGCAATTTCTTAACTAGTTCATGCACATCACTAAAAAGGCTCAACCTTTCAGCAAAAAGATAATAAAAAATAACTAAAACTTCTGTACCAGCACCCAGATAAGGAACCAACAGAGAAAGGGCTCAACTTCAAGTAGAGGTAATGTAACACATTTATTACTGAAGTGCTTATGCTGAAAATAGTGAAGTGAAATGAAGGAAAAAAAAATCTCTGTTTGAGGAAGAAGGAAATGTATTAAACTGTGTTTAAAGACATGTAGTCTCTTCAGGATTTCACAGATGATGCCTGAGCCAGAGGACTGCTGGCTCAAGTTCCACCAGCACAGACCACTGGCACCATCTCATGTGCCTGTCCCCAGTGTGTGGATCTCTGTATGGCTGCTCTGCTCTCAGATGCACTTTTTAAGACACATCTTGTGCGTTACAAGAAGAAATGCAAGCCAGTGTGGTACTTTTTAAAAATGAAGGTCTGACTAAACTAGAGAATTTTATATTCAAATGTCTGCATCAGGTCATCTACCAGCTGCCTCGATGAGAATTCACTGATAAAACGCCCTAATGGAGGGCATTTTATCTCCACGTGGAGATTTCATGTTACTGTTTTGTATGTTTGTCCCTTTCTGTTTTGTATCAAAGAGGGTAATCTGTTAATGTGGCCAGTCTAGTTGCCTCTGTTCAACATGCTAATGCTAATAAATATCATGAGAGTGTGCACCCCCAGTCACTCCTCATCTGATCTCTGGGGAATAAAATAGTTTGAGATGCTGGGGGCTGGAAAGATGTATTGTAAAGGTCCCACTGCTCTTTCACAAGTACCTAACCCTAACACAGATGAATAACAAGGATTTAGGCAGACTTTAAGTTCTTTGATTTCTTCTTACACAAGTTAAAATCACACCAATTTTCTAATTTTTATGACTTTAGTGTTCATAAGACTCAGGCAAAAGTGCAATATTTAAGACTGCATCATCTAAGCACCAGACCATTGTCAATTTGCTTATAACCACTACATACTACTAAGCTAAGGCAGCATGATTTTTTTCATTTTGCTGGTAGAAACAAACCCTTGAAATTTAAGTACCTAGCCTGATACATAAAACATGTATATAAAAAAGAGAAGCTACGCTCAGAATTCCCAGATCCAAGGGAAGTAACCACCAGATAATCACTCCTCTGACAACATGGAAACAATAAACCATGAATCCTCAAACAACATAAAATAAAACCAAAAAATTACAACAAAAACATTAAAATTTTTACTTTGACTCTTCTTCACTCTAAATCACAGCACGGAATTAGGGGCAAAAAATGCATAATTTGCAGATTTTTATAGGTGACCTTCAAACCCAGTCCACTGAATATGCAACACAAAATGCTGAGGGACAGTGAAATGACGGTTTCGTGTATGGAACAGACATATAATACAGGTGATCTTAATTAAAAGAAGATAAAACAGAGGAGGTGAGGAAGCAGGACACCCATCACCAAATAGCCATGCAGGTTAGTTGCAGTTTTGACTAAAATTTAGAAATAATAGATGCCTGCACAACTGCTTTTCTGGAAAGACAATGGGAACCTTAAACACAGTGTGTTAGCATGTGGCTAGAACACAACAGAAAGCAGAAAGAGCCTAAGACAGTACAAACCAGGCAATCGTGATGCTGCATACAAAACCTGGACACTGTTTAAAAGATAAATATCAATTACTGGGATACATTATTGCATTACTCCTTTGTTGGGCCCCAAAGAAAATAACTTTATGTCTCTGACAGAATCTTGAAAACCTTGAACTATCCAAGCCATCAACACCACGCTTTTAATCAGTGTTATCTGGTTGTCCCCTGTTTCTGTGCTGCTCTACAACTGTCCCAGTCACTTTGCTTTACAGATCACATCTCATTTACCAAGCTGTCATATGAAATAAAACAAGAACAAAGCCAAACACCACACATTTCATTTGTCTGTAGAGTTATTTACTGGTATTTGGTATTAGATTCTGTGCTGAATGAATGAAGATCCCAAAGTGTATGTACATCTAACTGTGTCTAAGGAACAGGTCTGTGCAAATTATAAATTAAGATTACTCTATAGCATCTGTATACTGAGAGAGACTGTCTTAGAATAAAAAAAGGAGTCACTGAAATGGTTCTCCAAGAAAATAGCTATAATTATTCCAGGTGATATGTGTGCAGTGAAAGAAATATATTATTAATGTAAAGAAGGTAAATAAGTATCATGGACCCAACTAATACTAAACAAAAAAGGAAAATAGTTTTTCAGTATTTTCCCATATGATTTTCACTGGTGTGCACTACAGGAGAGTGCAACAATATTTAGGTTCATGTTATTCATGTCAACCCCTGTATTTAGAGGCATTTGATTTTCCTTGAAATCATCCAAGCAAAGCTGTCAGTAAGCTTTCACTTGTGTGAAGTAACAGACACCAGGAAATGTCATGTCAACATTAATGCAGACATTCTAGGACAGAAGACTTCCTTTTGCATGACACAGACCAATCAAACCTGATATACTTACAGTCTATTGAATTCCCTGACTTCAAACTTCCTTTGTTTTAAGGAAAGCTTCCTCTAGTGATCTACCTGAAAGCAATCAGGGGAAGCTGACAGCAATATAGGATATAAAATAGTTGCATAGTGTGAATGAGATTCTCTTCTAAAAGAACTTGTATTAAAAAAATTATTTCAAAAAAGGGCAAAGCATTTGGAAAAAAGTTATATGTCTGATTTAGTTAGCAGAAGAGACATGGAAGCAATCTGAAATAACTTACACTAATTGAAATTTGCTCTTTGGTGCCAGCAAGAAAGACTTCTCCATATCTAAGTAAACTTTTGCACAAAGATAAAGCAGCAGCTGGCATATCTTTGAAGACAGGAGATACTTCATTAATATTTTTTTAATTGAGTAGTTCTGAACTTATAAACACATGCTGATCTCACTTTCATTTGTCTGTTTTGGAGAGTTTTGCTCTAAAACGACCAGAAACTCTACACTATACCTTTCTAAAGTCTTTGCCCATAAAAGACCAAGATGTAACACAACAGGTAGCTGAAAATTTCCAAGCAGTGCACTCCAAACTGTTAAGAGCAGGAGCTCTCTTGCTGTGTATACTGGTAAGGCAGTTTGTCCAGCAGGACCCAATTTTAATTAAAAAGAGCAATAAATCTCATTAAAAGTTGCAGGAAAGGTTATTTATAGTCCTTGTTACCTGTGGCTTCACAAGAAGCAATTCAAGCACAGATTGTGGCTATCAGGAAGTGAATATCCAGCTCTTTTGCTTGCTAACTATCAGACAACTTGAGTGTGTCATTTTTTAGGGACATTTTGGCACCTGGAGTCATGGATGTGGGAAGTGCCACTCTGCTGGACAGGTGTGCCACCTCTGATGTAATGTGATCCAGATTATTCTATGCTGTGGCAGTGCTTAGAAAAACAACATCAGTACTGTCCAAGGTCCCTATGCTGTGCAGTTCCTTGCCAATTATGCCTCCTAAACATCAGTAATTCATATACAATTGCCACATCATTCCTTTGTCTCAGAAGGATTCTCTGGGTGCCTGAAAAAATTTTTTCCTCATAAATACCTAAATTCTTCCTTAACTGATTAGGCCTGTGCATTTTCAGCTCTAAATCTACAGTTATAGTGGAAAAGCATCACTTAACTGACGGAAAGGCACGATAACAAAAAAAGTCTCTCATTTTCCATTTGTCTAAGTGTTTGATTACATGTTCCGAGGCAAATCAGATAACTTGAGATTCACTTGACTCGTCCGCTGAGCACAAACATCATCCATCTTTGCCTTTACATAACACTTTATAATCCTAGGATCTCAAAGCCAAGGACCAGTACAAAACACACAGTGTCTCCCTGAAGGAAACCAGCACCAACGGAAAACTACCCAGTGTTGCAAGGAAAGCTGTGGCCATTATGATTTATAAAACTGCACTGGGTGAGTGCTGAGTACAATCCAACAGTCAGAGAAAGAATCAGAAATCCCCAAAGATCAAAAAAATTAACTACCAGAGGCAGAGATTAATATCAGTAATTTACAAATTATCTTTAAAAAGCATTAAACCCCAATAGCAAGCCAAGTTAATTTCCCTCCCAAACTTTCTTCATTCTCTCCTCCTTTAACTTGCTTTCTGTCTTATTTATATTTGTTTCTTGAGGTTCTGATCACAGTATCATTGTGGATCAATCTAATGGAAGCACGAGCTTGGTGATACTCCTTTCAAAGGATAATTTAATTAAAGTCTTAAATAGTAGAAGAAAATTAATTTCCTCTGACTTTGTCCTCTTTTGAATACTTAAACCTGCACAATTTTGTATGAAAAAAAGGTAATCTATCAACTCTGAAACCTCAGGTTTTATCAATTAGATACTTTTCAAGTGCCTATCAAAGCAAAATCAGCCCTTCTAAAAATCCAGTCATTGGGGAAAAGTCACTTCTTCATATTGAAATGTGTGTCTCTTCCCACCTGTGGTACCAAGCACTTTAATGAAGAAAAAGAGGAAAAAAAAATATGGTTCCCAGAGATAGTTCACTTTTTTAAAGATGAATTACATTAGTTGCAATCAAATGCTGCTGAGGGTGGTAAAGTGAGAGCCTTCAGAAATTCAGAAATACTTACTGCTTGAGGCAGACAGTTCTCTTGGACTGGAGGCCATGGGCTGAGCACACATCTGACAGAGACACTCCCTTCCATTAAAGGTAACGCGATCGCCTGGTGGAAATGGACGCCTGGAAAGTTAAAGAGAAAAACAAATTTTTGCAAAGGTTATGCCAGAAATTTTCCTCTGTTCCCTATGCTTTGAGTTTGCTGCTTTCCTCCAGTGCAATCAATATTTTACAGAAACTTGGGCCAAATAGTTTCTGCAATGTGGCCTTGGCAAAGCCAGGCACTGGAAGAAATCCAATCCATGGATGCAAGCAGAGCAGAGGTTAGACTTGCCTTGTATTTTCATTTAAAAAAGACTATCAAACTTATTTTATCTGAATAGTAGAGACAGTGAAATCTGCTAAGACACAACAGCTACATTTATGATGGTCTCAGCATGATGTTGTGGATAGCAAATGATACAGAAGAGAACTCAAAGGAAGAATTGGAACTGTTCTTGAGGCTAGTGAAGGAATGTGGAGCTAGTCACTCATAAATGTTAAGAATGTGTGTTAGGCAGAAGTTGACATTGCTGTTAACTCTTATTTGGTGCATAAAGCAGAGGATGAATAACGTTTTTTAACTCCAAATCTTTAATAAGGAGCTTAGCTGCTAAGTACAGACCCCTGCTATACCCCACCTCACTCCAAAACTGCTTAACAAAAGAACAGCTGCTGATTTCAACAAGCCAAAATGTTTAAAGCATTGTTTCCTTTCCACTGCCATTCCTAAGTGGGTCAAAAATAAATCAGCAGCAATAGTGCATTTCATTAATCTATTCCAGTGACTCATCTTTTGTTCATTCAACATAAAAAGATGGATGCAAGTCAATGCACAGAAAACTAATGTCATGTTTCATACGATATCATCAGGTTTCATGCTGTCCTTGGGAAATAAAACTGAAACATACACATTATACGACTACCAACACGCAGTAAATTCACACACTATTTAAAAACAGAAAAACAATCAAAATACTTTCAATAGAAAAGGTCCCAGGCCACAGGATAAAGTACTTCGACTACTCATTAGAGGTAGAAGTTAAAAATGCCACCTTTCTCCCATCCAGAGAGCCTTAACTAACTTCTTTTTATTTGCTGTAGAACTGAAGACTGACTCTGTTACTGGGGACAAGAAGCAGCATTTCGGAAGAAGAGGGGGAATCACAGTTGTCCTAAAGCCATGTGTTCTTACATGATGTGAAAATCAGTCTCCAGTATGTTTTCAATTGTTTAACTGTTCTCATAGCCCAAATGTAGCATCCAGAATTTTGCTTTACCTCATTTCTCCAACCAAGCTGGGCTGATCCCCTGAACTCAACTCAACCCATATCCATTACCTCAACATGCAAGCCTGGTAATTCCTTCAGGTATGAGGGTAACTTCCTGAGAACAGGGAACTATATGCAACACAGCAGCTGTGTCCCACAAACAAATGAGTGGCATTTTGAAGACAGCAGATCTTTTCCAGACAATTGCTTCCCAAAGAGAAATACGTCTTGAGACTTATGTCTCATGGTGAAACCTTTTTCCCTGTTTTCCTTGTACTGGGTTCACACCATGCTAGTTGAAAGGGAGGACTTACTTGCAAACAGTACAGGCAAAGCAGCTTGGATGGTAAGTTTTTCCCAGAGCTGTCACTACTTCTCCTTCCACGAACTCTCCACAGCCATTGCAGCGGGTGCCGTACATGCGCTGGTAATCCAAGGTGCAAAGGTATTCCCCGTTCTTGATGAAAAACCCTCCCTGTGCCAAGTCACACCCACACACTGGAAGGAAAAAACACATCACACAGACAGATTAGAAAAATATACCTACTAAGGATGTCATCTGCTGTCAAATGAGATGACCTTGGTGGTCTTACTCCCTTCTATCAGATTTTTGCTTTCTCCTACTGTCACTACGTGCCTGGACATCCCAGGACATGGCTGGTGTTTTCTGGCTAAAGGAGAGCTTGTAATGAAGATTCTCCTTGTCCACATCATCATAACTTTAATGTACTTGGTCCTCAGTTGCCAAGAGCTCAGTTACCTTGCATCATCCAGTTAATCGTGTTATCACAGTTATCTGTACCAATGTAATCTTACTTTCACTTCTGGGGATGGATGTGAGCAGAAGAAAATACATGATTCCATAAATAGAACAGATTTTACTATTTTTTACACTAACATACATTTTTTATGCAACCACATCCTTTAAGAAGCTTTCAAGGAGCTGATTCTCCCAGAAAATAATTAATACTATTGAAATGTTGCCTGGTTTAGATTAACTACTCCAGTCCCTAGGTAGCACTGAGCTGCTTCACCATTGCTGCACCAATACTTTTAGTTTTGTTTTTAAAAGCATGGTCTTTGAAATATTCAGTGTGATTTTACATTATTAATTTAGACATAAATATTGGGAGAAAGTTGCAGTGAAGAGATAGTCAAACATTAAAAATTTAGCCACATCTCCACTATACAGACTTCACGATATATGCAACCAAACTATATAACAGTATATTGGACACCAAATAAAGTCAATAGAAGATTATTCTCCACCTGTATTCTGAACAAATCAATATCCTAAGAACTACTATTACCTTTGAGTGCCTAATCTGAATTGATCTCACTTTAGTCTTTTATTCACTATATTCCCTGTATTTCATGGATTAGGTAAACAACTCTAATATTTGGATAGAGACTTGTGGTCAAGTACAAATTTATTGGGAAAAATAATTGTAACAATAAAAGGGTGAATAACCAGTCAAGGATTTCTGTGACTTGGCAGTTTTTCCACTGTAAAATACTTACCCAAACCAAAACACATCACAACCAGGTGCCTTTTTTGCTTTAAGAAAATACAGTGCTACATTGGCATTTCTGGTCAACACAGAGACAGAAAGCAATCCTGCCTATAACAGTCAAATCCCATGAAGAGAAAGTGCCATGGGAGATGGGAGATTGAATTTCACACTGTGCCTTTAGCTTGGATTGAACAAAGAACTTGAAACTACCTACTTAGTGTCTCTCAGTAGCACCAAAAATTTATATGCAGCTGCTCCCAGGTATTTTGGTTTCAGCCACTCCTACTGCTCCTCTGTATATTGCTGTATCTGTGTAATTCAATAAGAGAGACCACTCTTCACAGCAGGCTAGGACATTGGCTTACTCTGCAAGCAATTCCATTTCATCCCTCGTCAAAACATTCAAGTACATTTAGATCAAATATCAGAAATATTGTGTATCAGAAATTTTGATTATTAAGGAAAACTAAATAAGAAGCATTCTAGGTCCCTGCAGTTACAAAGTCCTTGAAAAATTAAAATACGAAATACAGAAAGATTATCAGGGGAACTATGTTCAGTTCTTCTTTCTGCCACAAGTCCCAAGCACAACACTGTGCCCAACATTCTTTCTCACTCCCATTATAATGGGCTAATATCTTATAAACTACCTGCCTTGAAAATTAACATTGCAAGGCATTTGGGGCAGGGATTTCAAATTCTGTTTGTCTGTTTTCCAGCCCTGGATATCTCATGACTGTTACCGTAACAATAATTAATAGAACAGTATATACTATAATGCAGCTTAGAATTAAAGCAGTATCAGAACTAGCATTTTTCCAGTTTCACATTTCTACATAGAACAATAATATTTCACGTGCAAACAAATTACATTTCATGGTGGCACTAAATCCACAAGCAGCCAAAACTGAATTATCAGTGACTGAGAGGAATTAAAAAGAACTACTGCTCCAAAATGTTCCATTCTGGTTTTTAGGTACACCTCCAGAAAAAAAACCCCTCTTTCATTCCTTTGTGTTCTTCTACTGATCTCCATTTTGTTTCAAATATTAGTTTCAAACTAATGGTACAATATCATGTAACCATTGGGCAGAAAGCACTGTGACCTCCACACCACATCACCTTAGACTCTTCCTGAGTTGGCACCACGTAGTAACTTTCCACTGCAGGTCCAGAGGCGAGACCTAAGCCTACTTAAATAGGTTTGCTTCTCTAAGTTACTCTGAGTGGATCCTTACAATTAAGTCATGGAGTAACTGAGAATTCTGCTTTAATGTCAGAAAGTTGCTAGGGATTACTTCAGTATTCAGACTATTAGATCCTGGGGTTACAGTGCACGAACTGGAGCATGGTCATGGAGTGGTCAATACCAGATGCTTCAGAAGCTGCTAAATTTCATAAAGAGCTAGTCATGTGTCTGTGCAATTATTTAAACCACATTTTTAATTTAACTTGTAGCTTTAACATACAAGTCTATATACATTTCAGCCTCAAGCTGAAGTCACTCAGCACGCAGCTGTATCTGCCTCAGAAGCTGCATATATGAACTCTTTGGTTCTTCACTGTGGTCCCCAGTTCTACCAATGAGTCACTTTTTGGAGAACTCATTCGGTCATTGCAGCCCTCTTTACCTGCCAAGGCAATGGTCTAATAAGCTGGGATGATCAAAAGGAACTTTTACTGCCACCTCTGTTCCAGCTTCTTCTGAAAATCCAGCTTCAACGTATCATACAGAGGTCTGTGGCAGATCATAGATTGCAAAAAACACTACAGACTTTGAATGAAAGGGTTCATGCATTCCAGTTATTGCCTCTACCCTCTTTGCATGCATTGCTACAGAGATTCAAGCCTACTGACAAAAATGGGGGCTAAATTATTGGGCAAGTCTTTTGAAGACAGTAATTACTATCATTAAAAAGAAGCTTCCTCTATCACCCTTTTCTTTCTGAAGTCTCCTTTCCACCCAATCTCTAATTCATTTTGTCAATAACTCAGAATTTCTGAGTTAAACTGTCTCATACTGGCAAGTCATGAATTCAGGCATGAGCAGAAGTGATCCACCAGCAGATTCATCATCTCTGGCATTCTCACAGCAGGAAGTACACACCAATCTGAAAGAATTAAAGACAAACTCTGGCAACCCCACATTACAACGGATTTTTGCAGTCAATTTAGCACATGTGTTCCTATCACTAATCACAGCTTTAAGCTACATGGGCAAAACAAGGGTCACCCAGACTGTTAACATCCATGGTTGGAAAAATGCTGTTCCAGCCTGCTGCTTTCACTTTGAGTCAGAGATCAAACCAGAAAGGACGAACATGACTGTATCCACACTTGGTGTACAACAGGGAAAGGATTTAAACAGCTTTTTGTTCTTTTTTTTTCTACTTTTGGCAACTGTGCAGAAGTCATGGTTCTGACAATATAACCCTTCAAGCTGAAACACAATGCCTTAGCACACATATTTATGACCACTATAGAAGTAACACAGAAAAGATGTACAATTTGTGATTGTTTTTTATTAAAAAGAAAGACCATATGCCCAGCAACATTCATGCCACAAACAGCAGAGGCAGTGAAGAGAAATCAGCTGTGAATGCTACATATGTACAATACATCCTAATGGTGTGACCTAAGCAATTGCTGTGATACACGTATCATGTCATCAAAGAAAAAATTATACCTAAGTGATGACAGTTAATAGGAAATGTCAAACTATATTCTTGTTTTTTCCTATACTGATGGGAAAAACAACTTTGAAAGAATTACTTCATGGAGCCAATAGTGATGCACGAATCACATCTGAGAAGGAAAATGCAAGAAGTATTCTGTAAACATCCATCATATGGAAATACTTCTACAGGAGAGTAACATTTCCCCAAGATTCTTCCTTCTCAGTATGATGGAAGACATTATGTTTACATGACCAAGATCTCCCTTCTAAAACAGGAGACGCTGGGGAGCATTTGTGTTCCCTACGGTACCACAAGCATAGAGACAAAAAAAATCAGCATTTTTCCTTAAATGAAAAAAGAAAACCATTATCTTCAAAAGCTCCAGGAGGAACGCAGCCTTTTTCTCAGAGTCTGTATATCAAAGAATTTCATATTACAAACAAGTAATCCTGCCTCTCTTGTGAATGGAATAAGCTGGAATACAGTTCTGCCTCCCACTGTATGGAAAACACCCACCTGCCAGCTTTTTCTGTCTTGAACTACTCTCTGGAGCTACTTTTTTGCATCCTTAAAGGACAAAAGGATTGGAGACGCTGTCAGTGCTGCTGTCAGCTCTCAAAGCTACAGGGTCTGTGTATGCAAACCTGGGCTATTATGACAAAATGCAGCTGCTCAAGAGCAATCCAACTGCCTGGGATCTCCACGGGACCAGGACCATTCTTAAGATGAGTCACTTCCAAGCTTTAACAGAGATGACGAAAATGAAGAGATCAGATTTTTTCAAAGAGAATGGAAGTAGGATTTGATCCTACTGAGCATTATGCAGGATTTCCTCAGGCTTATTGTCAGCGAGAGTTGAAAAACCAGGCCCTTAGTAAAATAACTCTATGTTGACATTAAGTAAAAATTGTTTCAACACTGAAGAAACAAAACCACACAAGCAGACTCTTGCCCTCTTGAGAGAGGGCTCTCAGTTTGCAGAAGTGAATTCTATTTATTAAGAAAAATCTAATGATCTGCTTTGTTACCATGCATTAAATAAGGTGCAAATTCAATTTCCTGTTGGGGTTTTATTTCTTTCTTGTATTTCTAAGCTTCATAGAATAATGGTGCTGTTCTCAAGTAGGAAAATATTCATACAACAGCTATTCTTAGGGCATAATGGATCTCTTGTTTGAAGGTAGAATGGAATTTGGCATCGTTTCAGTTTATCAACATCATCCAAACAAATACACAGGAAAAATCTGTTTCTTTTTTTCATGTAAGAGTTTAACAAATCCCATATTGATGAAAGCAAGGTTCATGT